CGAAGAACAATGGAAGTATTGTGGGAAGGGGTGTTAAAGGTTGTGTAAATACTGATTAAAGGAGTAGTGAAGGAGGCGTACACGCTAGAACCATGTAAGTGAATGAGTAAAGTTTGAAGCTGGAGGGGCGAAGGGATAGTAATAAAAGATTTGCAACGTAAATGAGGATATTTAAATAAGGGAGGGAGGAGTAGAAGAGGTTTAAAAACGGCATGAGAAAACTGTAAAGAGTTATAGTGTAAAGGAGACATTAAGGAAAAGCAAGGGAGGTATTTAGACGAGAATGTGAGGGAGGATAGCACAAAAGGACGTGGAAGAAGTAAATTGAAATAGCAAGAAAAGCGAAAGGGGGCGAGTTTGCAACAATAGACGAGCGGAGTGCGTGAAATTTGATTGATGGAGAAGTGATTTAGGTAGAAATGAAAATTATAAGGGTCGTGAAGAAAGTGGAGGGGATTCAGGTCTTGGAAATTGGGAGAGAAACGCAAAGTAATAGAGTGGAGGGGGACAAAGAAAGCCTAAATAGTGTGCAAAGGTAGCATGATGAACCTGGGGTAGCCGCCAAAATGAAGAACACCAGAGAAAGGGTTGACATCCTGAAACAGATCCAAAAAGGTGTGAGGGCGGTTCGCGATGGACTTGAAGAACATAGTTATAGAGAGCTTGGCGGTAGAGTGAAGAACACGTGAATAAGGTGAGGAGGGAAAAGCTCTAAAGGAAGCAAGAAGAAGCCCTTAAGAGGGTATGAGGCAGGCGTGAAGGAGAAAACGTACAAAGGAAGCGTGAACGAAATGTGATGCAGTGATGGGAGGGTGGTGCGGGGCATAGCATGGGGCTGAAGTAAACGAGATATGAATCACTTAAAAAGGGGTATGAGGTTTCAAAATAGATGTCACCTTCAATCTCTTTTATGACTTAGGTAGGTATCTAAAGGAGGTGGAAGAAGACGTGGGGGGTTTGATGAAGGTTGACGGCAGTATAGGAAAACATGATGGAGCTGTGCAGTAGGTCGGAACGGGGGGTGAAATTATATGGACTGGACGCATCAGACTTGCGTGTAACGCAAACGAGGCGTAAAGAAAGCGGAGTTGAGGTTTAAAACCGGCATGGCGGCGGATTAGATGCTAGAAATGAAGAAGGAAAGAGTGACGCTCAAGGAGACCTGAAGTATACACGAAGTTAGCATGAAACATGCTTGCATGAAAAAGATGTGAAGCAGTGAAAGGGAGGATGTGAATAAAGATATAAATAGAAAGTGAAGGAGAAGTGAGGGAAGCGTGAAGAAAATTTGATGTAACTTGAAGAAAACTTGAAGTTGGAGACACCAAAACGGGGTAAAATGCGAGCATAAGATGTGAGTTGTATGAAGGGAAGATCTGAACGGAGGGCAGTGTATAACCTTCCTCTTTTACCAAAAATCGACTGCACCAAAATTTCCCGGGAAAACACTTTTTCTTATTAATTTTGGGGCGTAGAATCCAAAACAATTCGTACTTTTTTGATCAGACTTCTCAATCAAAAGTTATAGACTAGAAACCAATTTCGAAAGAAAATTCAAAGGGCTGTAACTTTAGAACTAGTAGCCCAATCTTGGAACTGTTTGAAATTATGGATTCTACAGGCCACATTCTATAAGAAAATTTTTTTCCGGGTCGATCTGAGACAATTTTATTTGCGGGCATCAAAAAAAGGCAGTATATAACCTTCCTTTTTTACCAAAAATCGACTACACCAAAATTTCTCGGAAAAACACTTTTTCTTATTAATTTTGGTGCGTAGAATCCAAAACAATTCGTACTTTTTCGATCAGACTTCTCAATAAAAAGTTATAGACTAGAAACCAATTTCGAAAGAAAATCCAAAGGGCTGTAACTTTTGAACTAGTAGCCCAATCTTGGAACTGTTTGAAATTATGGATTCTACAGGCCACATTCTATAAGAAAATTTTTTTCCGGGTCGATCTGAGACAATTTTTTATTCGCGGCTCAAAAAAGGCAGTGTATAACCTTCCTTTTTTACCAAAAATCGACTGCACCAAAATTTCTCGGGAAAACACTTTTTCGTATTAATTTTGGTGCGTAGAATTCAAAACAATTCGTACTTTTTCGATCAGACTTCTCAATCAAAAGTTATAGACTAGAAACCAATTTCGAAAAAAAATTCAAAGAGCTGTAACTTTTGAACTAGTAGCCCAATCTTGGAACTGTTTGAAATTATGGATTCTACAGGCCACATTCTATAAGAAAATTTTTTTTCCGGATCGGTCTGAGACAATTTTTTCTTCGGGTCTCAAAAGAAGGCAGTGTATATAACCTTCCTTTTTTTACCAAAAATCGACTGCACCAAAATTTCTCGCGCAAACACTTTTTCTTATTAATTTTGGGGCGCAGAATCCAAAACAATTCGTACTTTTTCGATGAGACTTCTCAATCAAAAGTTATAGACTAGAAACCAATTTCGAAAGAAAATTCAAAGGGCTGTAACTTTTGAACTAGTAGCCCAATCTTGGAACTGTTTGAAATTATGGATTCTACAGGCCACATTCTATAAGAAAATTTTTTTTCCGGGTCGATCTGAGACATTTTTTTTTCGGGCCTCAAAAAAAGGCAGTGTATAACCTTCCTTTTTTACCAAAAATCGACTACACCAAAATTTCTCGGGAAAACACTTTTCTTATTAATTTTGGTGCGTAGAATCCAAATCAATTCGTACTTTTTCGATCAGACTTCTCAATCAAAAGTTATAGACTAGAAACCAATTTCGAAAAAAAATTCAAAGGGCTGTAACTTTTGAACTAGTAGCCCAATCTTGGAACTGTTTGAAATTATGGATTCTACAGGCCACATTCTATAAGAAAATTTTTTTCCGGGTCGATCTGAGACAATTTTTTTTTCGGGGCTCAAAAAAAGGCAGTGTATAACCTTCCTTTTTTACCAAAAATCGACTACACCAAAATTTCTCGGGAAAACACTTTTTCTTATTAATTTTGGTGCGTAGAATCCAAAACAATTCGTACTTTTTCGATCAGACTTCTCAATCAAAAGTTATAGACTAGAAACCAATTTCGAAAAAAAATTCAAAGGGCTGTAACTTTTGAACTAGTAGCCCAATCTTGGAACTGTTTGAAATTATGGATTCTACAGGCCACATTCTATAAGAAAATTTTTTTCCGGGTCGATCTGAGACATTTTTTTTTTCGGGGCTCAAAAAAGGCAGTGTGTAACCTTCCTTTTTTTTACCAAAAATCGACTACACCAAAATTTCTCGGGAAAACACTTGTTCTTATTAATTTGGGTGCGTAGAATCCAAATCAATTCGTACTTTTTCGATCAGAATTCTTAATCAAAAGTTATAGACTAGAAACCAATTTCGAAAAAAAATTCAAAGGGCTGTAACTTTTGAACTAGTGGCCCGATCTTGGAACTGTTTGAAATTATGGATTCTACAGGCCACATTCCATAAGAAAATTTTTTTCCGGGTCGATCTGAGACAATTTTTTTTTCGGGGCTCAAAAAAAGGCAGTGTATAACCTTCCTTTTTTACCAAAAATCGACTACACCAAAATTTCTCGGGAAAACACTTGTTCTTATTAATTTAGGTGCGAAAAATCCAAATCAATTCGTACTTTTTCGATCAGAATCCTTAATCAATTGTTATAGACAAGCTAAAAACCCACTGAAGATTTGATAAATCTCAGGGGGGATAACCTGGGTAGGTAAATTCTCGGCCCTTCCCAACCTTCTACAACCAAGGTCGACATTTCTCTGTGGCTATCTAACGGACGAATTTTTGCATTTTTAAAGCAAGGGACCCAGCGAAAACGAACGTCGTCGAGGTTATCTTGATAAATTGGCCACGCGTTCTAAAGCGCTTTTAAACTCACTCTCATTCACCCTCCATATGAAGCGGTACAATGAAATTTGGTCCATACATGTAATTCAAAACTGTGTTAAACGACACAGGAAGTTCCCGTTACAGTATCCCCTTCCGTTTTTTTAACGAAAAGCCTAATGAGGTTTCTAAAAACAAACGGGAGCTGATCCCCAAAGTTTCTCCTGAATGGAAACTAACAAAGACTCACTCCAAGGCTGGCGAGGTGAAGCGGAGCTCGACGAGGTTCGACAGTAAGAGTCGCGTATGTCTGCTCTTTCCAGGACCAACCTTGGAGCTTCTCGACATCGGCAGCGGACTGTTCAGATTTTCAGCGTTTTCGGCGGCCGTACAGAGGTGAGTTGACTACCCCAGGGCCGAAACCTCAACCTCACGTTACAGGATCGCTTCACTTCTGCCGCCCCAGATTGATGTAATAAAGATAATCAAAAATTGCGAATGCAAAAGCGAGCGAGAATTGGTACTTGCTAGTTTAGCCATTCAGCTCGGTTTCATCGAGCTGCTCAAGGGGTTGAATTTATCGTTAGACTACACGGCGGGGATGTCCGTCGGGGAGTTATCCGCCAGTTACGCAAAGGGGAGGATCAATCTCGAGCAGGCAATCGCGATCGGGTATGAAATTTCTCGGCTGATGGGCGATGATCTGCGTTTTGAGTACGCCTTAAGTACCAAAAGCTTGGTGCTGTTGAGCCGGATACAAAAAGTGGTACCCAATCCGGAAGGGATAATTCACAGTCTCCTAAGTCCGAAACCTTTGGAAGAGCGCAAGTGGCATCAGAGCAACTATCCCGAGCTGTCCGTTGTCGTGCTCGGTTCCGATCGGATGCGGCTGAACGGTTTCGCCTCCTTGCACATTTCGGGCTCGGATGTCGTGACCTCATTTCTGGATGCGGTGGGAGGGTGAGTAGCGACGATAGCGCGATCTTCTCCTGCAGAGATCTCTTGCAGCCTGTACATGCTGGGTCACAATCTCAACGTGGCAGCTCTGTACCCGCCGGTCAAGTGGCCGGTTAGTAGAGGTACGCCCATGATCTCGCCGTTAATTAAGTGGAACTACGACATAAATTGGTTCACATTGTTTTACAAGAAGACGGTTTTGCATTCGGGCTCTCAAATTATTCCTTTGGGCAAGAAGGACATTGACTGGTCCATCTTACCGGGACACGTCATTGATGGTAAGTCAAGCAGCTTATCAATTCCTCCCCGGGTTGCTTCCTCCATGGGAGGCCCACAGTTCAGCTTCAACTGAACTGCGCCACACGGGCTGGCTTTAGCTTTTGGAACTTCCAAAATCTAACGTTTCTTTGTTCACACATGTTTATCATCCAAAATCAAAAATTCAAAAACGTGTAGAATTTACTCACAAACTCACTCAAACGTTGTATATCGTACACAATTTATTCTTTAAAAATCAGGATCACAGAAGAGCAAAAATGTGTAGATCGTTCAACGATATCCTATCACGTGGTATGCTCTCCTAAATACCGATTCTTGTGACAGGATCTCAGAAAGGAAAGAAGGTGTAGAACTCGCTCACGGGTCGTTCCCTCTTATGCCATTAACATAGTCAAACGTAGTACACAAAAAACATAGGCGAATGTATTGGGATCACAGAAATGCATATCAATGTTTTTTCTCTCGTATCACGAATAATTAGTTCGTATCATGACACTTCCTTACAATCCATACTCTCCTAATACAGATCCTACTTTTTTAAATGTAATTTCTAATCATGATATCTAGTCGTCTCCTCGTTTGCAATCTCGTCTAATCATCTCCATTGGGAGGCGCCCGTGTGTTCGTCTTCTAGTTCACGGCCACCATTGATCAAAACGTGTTTAGGTATGACGATAATGCCCGCAACCGGTTATCTCTTCATGATCTGGGAGACGTACTGTAAAATTCTGAAAGTTCCAATGCTCGGCTCTCGGGTGCGCTTCGAAAACGTGCGATTCCATAAAGCTGTCCACATTTCCAAAATATCGGAGATGGTCTTCAAGATTACCATAGGCCGAGGAACCAACCGATTTGAGGTAATTTGAGTCTTAACCAACCCTCCTACATAGTACACTTTAGATCGGAGACGTCGAAGAAGTTATCGTTTCTGGAAGCATACACAGTCTCTCAGATACGGATGAATTCATTGACCTCGCCTTGTCACCAGAAGACGAGGAAGAAATCTCTTTCGCGTCAAAAGATATTTACAAAGAGCTACGCCTGCGGGGTTACAACTATTCGTAAGTGACTTGGTGAAGATGATGGTTTGTATTGAATTTTTCTAGAGGAGCGTTTCGCGCGCAGGAGAAAAGCCATCTTTCCGGCTTGATCAGCTGGATTAAATGGGACAGTAACTGGATCGCATTCATCGATAACATGTTGCAGACGAAGCTTCTCGGGGAAGATTCGCGGAGTCTGTGCGTCCCCACGTCCATCGGCCAGTTGAATATTGACGCTATCAAGCACTTCGTGTACGTTAAGCAGCTGGGCAACCCATCTCTACTGCCTGTGTACAACCACAGCGAGGCAGATGCCATCAGGTGAGTATGACAAATTAATCCGCGGTGATTCTAATTAGTGGAGTAGCTGTGGAGGTATCGAGCTGCGGAAGCTCTACGCGACGCCAATTCTGCGCCGGAAGGTGACGGCCGAGCCGGTCCTGGAGACGCACAAGTTCGTACCGTTTAACACCGAGCTGCCCATGCAATCTGCGGTGCGCGTCCTGGTGCAGATCTTCCTTGAGAACACACTCTCGCTGAAGGTTAAGATCGTGGAGGTCGCGAAAACTGACGCGATTTCACCAATCCTGCAAGAGGCTTTGAATGACCAGCCGCTGATTAAAACACAAGTGACAATTTTGAGCGACGAAATCCTGACTGTCCCAAACGTGAAGGTCCACAACAAGGCGCTGTCCTCCGAGAAGCAATGCGAAATAGTCATTCTCGAGGGGGCATCGAGTAACCTTGAACTACTCCAGGAGGCCGAAAGCATCCTAAAGAGGAACGGCATTATTATCTCAAGGGAAAGAGGCGAGTTCGTTTCAAGTTTCCCTGGCCTCGAGCTTCTGGCGCAAGTAAAAACTGAAACGGAAACGCTGGTGTTGCTGAGGAAAGTTGCGAGTTACACGAAAGAGCACGTGATCATGGCCAAGTTTGACGGAACAACTTACGACTGGTTGCCTAAGCTTCAGAGGGCCATCCGAAATGAAACCAAAACGTTGGTGGTGGTTGAAAATGAGCCTTTAAGCGGCGTGCTCGGATTTGTCAATTGTCTAAGACGCGAACCCGGGGGGATGAACTTGAGATGCGTGTTTGTTCAGGACGGGAACGTTAAATTTAACCTCTCCGATCCACTCTTCAGCGAACAGCTAAGCAAAGACTTGGCGATTAACGTGTTGAAGCACGGCGCTTGGGGTACCTATCGCCATCTGCCCATGGAGCGCTTGAAGGAGGTTGAAAGGCAGCACGTCTTCTGCAACCAGAACGTCGTTGGAAACTTGTCAACGCTCAGCTGGGTCGAAGGGCTACTTTCGCATGATAACGCTAAGGAACCCGGACGATCGATCAAGGTTTGTACGAAGGTTCCACCAAGTGGTGGTTTAAGGGCTTGTCTAGGTATACGCCAGTTCCATCAACTTCATGAATATTATGTTAGCTTCCGGTCGTGTTCCCTTGGAGGTGTTCATAAAGGATCGCCTTGCTTTGGCACAGCGCAAGGCCTTGAGTACGCTGGAATAGACGCAACGTAACTTCTTTTACTGTGTAAACCTGGTGTATAGCTTGTTATTGTAGGGGCGAGAGGGTAATGGGTTTCGTACAACGTGCGGCTATGGCCAGTTCCGTTGTCCCAGACTGTGAGATGATCTGGAGAATACCGGATGAGTGGACTATGGTCCAGGCCGTCAGTGTTCCGATGACGTACTCGACGGTGCTGTGCAGTTTCTTCGTGGTAAGTGTCTGCGTAGCCCTTCCGTGGTTTAGTAGAACGTATTTAAGAGCGCTCACCTTAAACCGGGACAAAGTGTACTGATACACTCCGGGGCTGGAGGCGTAGGGCAGGCCGCCATCCAAATCGCCTTGTTCTGCAAGTGCCAAATATTTACAACTGTCGGTACCGAGGAAAAGCGGAAGTTTATCATGGAAACATTCCCAGAAATACCAGGTGAGCAAGTAAACTAATCCACACGAACTCAATCGGTCCCTAGCTAGCCACATCGGCAACTCTCGTGACACCTCCTTCGTGCAGATGGTTTTAAAACACACGAAAGGTAGAGGAGTTGACTTGGTTCTAAACTCCGTGGCCGAAGAAAAATTGAAAGCGACACTTCAGTGCCTTGCGCCGAAAGGCTACTTCGTCGAGATAGGCAAATACGACTTGGTCAACAGCAACAAATTTGCACTCTCTGTACTAAGCAAAGGACGTAGTTATACCAGCTGCATGTTGGATATGTACTTCAGAGACTTCCACAATCAAAAGCACAAACTGCAAGAAATCGTATTAAAATTCTTGAAACAAGGCGCGGTTAAGCCTTTGCACTTGACCACGTTCAACATGGACCAAGTGGAGGAAGCCTACCGGTACATGGCGGCAGGTAAACACATAGGAAAAGTCGTCGTCAAGGTCCGCGATGAAAACCAGCAATCGCCCGAACTTTTCAAGGCTTTCCCAAGGTACAGTTTCTATTCAAAGGTTCGCTAATGACCGACCGTTCCAGATTCTCCTGCGACCCTTGCATGACGTACATCATTTTAGGAGGCTTGGGAGGGATTGGACTGGAACTGGTTGACTGGTTGATCCTAAGAGGTGCGCGCAAGTTGGTTTTGGTCTCTCGAAATGGTGTCCGAAATGGATACGCTGCGTCCAGATTAGGCAAGTTCAACTGCATTTGCGGATTTATAAGCTCGCCGCCAGTAGGCTATTCCACTTCTACTCTCTACTCTCTTCTACACTCTATTCATTTTAAGAAGGTAGCGGTAGAAATCATAGAGAACCTTTGACCTTCACTGTGATTGGTTAAACCACGAGTCTGTATTACGTCGAGAAATAAAATGTGTGACCAATTTTGTTATGTTAGTAGTTTCGGTTACGAACTAAACTGTCGAACTGACACTAGATCTCAATTTCAATGATCCAAAGTGAAATCTTTTGATTTATATTCATATTTTTCAAATTTGGTGCCGTTGTATATTTATCCTGTGTGTGTCTATCTTTAAACACAGCGCCATCTACTACCTTCTTGTAATGAATGCAGTATAGGTCGAAATGTTAATTACATTTGTTCTAACAATGGAATTGCAACTTTGATTTGTGTTCTATCGTCTTCATTGAACAGCTTTTTCCCCTTATTAGCACGATTATTGTGAACTAGGCCCTAGGGGGATCGTTGTGTCAGTTTCTAGATTATTTTTACCACCCAAGATTTAGTGAAAATTACACGATAAATTTAATTTTTATTATACCCGAATCACAATCTCCGTTTTAAACACTCAAATGCGTGCGAAAAAAGGCCTTTAAAACACACGTGCTTTAAAGTAACGATACTACAAATATGACTTTTAAAATTGTCATCTGGGGGAATAAAAAATCCTCTTAGGTCGCTTTCTGTAAACGCGGAACATTTCTTTGGCTTGTACCTATCCTTTGGTTGAAGCTTTCACAAACGCGCGTAATTTAGGGTATGCTTCCAAATCTGTTCCACTTTTTAATCGCAGCATTGTTTGAAGTTTTGAATGAATGCACCAAAAGATAGATAGAAGATTTAAATACCTTTGACATTTCCTTCATATATGCCAGCCTTATCGATGCATTTAAGACTGTATTCGTAAGTAACTTCCTACTTCAACCATGGAAACAATTTCCAATTCTTTATAACAGGCTTTACTGGATTTGGATTTTACACCTACCAACGTTTGTTTAGATTTAATGGACGGTGTATTATCTTTTTCAACGGAAATCGTTTTTATTTACAAAGACGAAGATTTTTATAAGCAAACCTCAAGTGACATTTCCATGGCAATCGTGAAATTACAAACACCCACTTAATTAGACATGTATTCGAGTATAACGTCAATATGATTTCATTGTATTTCCTATTTTTAAATTATACTGCAGGTATAATAAAAAATACTATAAGATACACGTGTATAATTGGTCTTTAAAGCACTTGCAACGTTAAAGGCACTCCGCTTCGCGTCGTGCCATTAAACTCGTTGTGCGTGCTTTAAAAACTTAATTATACACTTGTATCTTTAGTATTTTGTAACTTCTGAGCTAAACTAGTTGTCAGGTAAACTCCCGACTTGACTTTCCGACTACTTTTAATAGAGACATTGCAATTATCTTTGGTCATAGTATAACATTTAGAAAATGCCCTCTAGCGCCTTTATTTTGACCCCGACGGGAAAAGTGTAGAAGCCTTTTTTGTAGATCTGATCACGGCACATTTTTCACTCAGATGCTTACTTTTAGAGAAAAATGCAAATTTAGAAAAATAAAATAAATAGTTTAACTTTTCAATTCAAACCTTCTCAAACACAAAGGAACTCACAAAAATATCGTAATAAACTTTTTGGTGGGTCCGTTAACTTGACCCCCCCCCCCCCACTGAGAGATTTGATAGTCGTATTATTTTGAAATGAATGCGCTCGTTATGCGCTCATATGCGCCACCGATAATAACTCTTGCGCCATTATCGTTTTTTAGAAATCCGAAAAAACATTTGGGGGGGCCAAGTGAACGTAGCCCCCCCAGTACGTATTTTGTCCTTGTAACTAGGTCACCTGATACATTTGGTTATGCGCTCAATTGCGCCACTTGAATTAAAGCTAGCGCCATTACGGTTAAGCCGTGACAAATTTTCAAAAAGTGGGGGGGCCAACTTAACGTTTTTAAAAGTTACTTTTTTTTAACATCTTTTCATACGAAATTGTACTCTCAGGTATGCGCTGAAATGCGCCGTAAAAAGATATCTTTGCGCCATTATTGTTTTTTGGTTATCCTTAAATATATTTGGGGGGGGCAAGTGAACGGAATCCCCCATACCGCATTTTGCTACCGGTATTTGTGCCACTTGATACATCTGGTTATGAGTTCAATTGCGCCACTTGAATTAAAGCTAGCGCCATTACGGTTAAGCCATAAAAAATTTTTTAAAAGTGGGGGGGCTAACTTGACGTTTTCAAAAGTTACTTTTTTTAACATGTTTTTTCTACTACATCGTACCTTTCATCATGCGCTAAAATGCGCCGTAAACAAAAATCTTGGCGCCATTATAGTGTTTCACAAACACTATACAGGGTGTTTTTTTGGGAGCTTTAGTTAAATGATTCTGGGAAAGTAAAATAGGTAGGTTTTTAAACATTTGTATTTAGGAGTTACTCCGAAGGCCGAATCGATGTAAAATATTTTCAAAATGGACGCACTTCCGGAAATAACTTTTGAAAACGCTAAGTTAGACCCTCCACTTTTTAAAAATTGTTTATGGCTTAACCGTAATGGCGCTAGCTTTAATTCAAGTGGCGCAATTGAGCTCATAACCAGATGTATCAAGTGGCACAAATACCGGTAGCAAAATGCGTTATGGGGGATTCCGTTCACTTGCCCCCCCCCCCCCCCCAAATATATTTAAGGATAACGACTATCAAATCTCTCAGTGGGGGGGGCCAAGTTAACGGACCCCTTTTTGGTAGAGTTTTTTAAGTCAATTTAACCAGTGTATGCGAAAAAAATTGTTTCAAGCCGTTATGGCTCTTTTAAACTTTTGATACCCTCAACAACCATGAAGATGGTTACGGATCACAACCAAGGACGTTTTCGATTCCCCATACCACCATATATGCACCCCAAATTTCGTCCAAGTCGGTTCAGGGGTTTTTTAGTTATCGGGTTCACAAAAAACGAACCACATACACACAGACGTCAAGCTCAAAATTACATTTTGGGAGTCTGTGTGCTTCAAAACGTCCAGAAAACACAATATTGACATATCGAAAATTTATCACGATTACAATACTTTCCTTTATACATACTTCGTATGTAGTCGGAAAGTAAAAAATGCTCAATCATGTACTAATTATAAGGTGCAGTAAGGTATGCTTTAACAATTCTTACACCAATAGGAACACAGCTTACACAAAACTACTAAATGTCAATTGTAATATTGGCTCGCTATTGGAATATTTTAAAAATTCATGGTCTCAAAAGTATAGCGTTTAGTAATTTTTGCAGTGCCAAATTATTAAGATTTTTATAAATTTTTAGAGACTCGTTTTCTTTATTTATACAGGGTGGAGGTTTTAGCTTCCTAGCTTGAGCTAGGTGGCTATTACGATCACCGTTTTTTGGAAAAGTCAAAATGTCATCAAATGTCCAGCAACTTTTAAAGAATAAAATCTTGTTCCGATATAACGGCTCGACGGTTTTGTTCAAATTTTGGATCTGTATACGGAAACGAAAAACGTACAACGGACCGGATTTTGAAAAAAAATTTTTGAAGCACCATATAGGCCACGAACTGTATTTTTCAAATAGTAACCCAAAATTTCTATTAAACTATTCTACTATTCTAAACTATTTCTACATCAACTTTGTTATTTCTCATGGATGCCATATTAGATTTTTACGTCACTAGATAGAGAAACCCAGTTGCCAAATTCTTGACAGGAGAGCTTCCTAGATCGAAATAAATATAAAAAAAAAAGTTTTTGATAATTATACATCCTTTATGTCTAATGAACACTGCCAAAAGTCATATTAATTTGTGCCGTTTTATTACCTGTGTTTTTATTGGATGCTTGCCCAAGGTCCATTTTAATTATTCAAAATTTTGAAGTTCAATTTGGAGTTTGAGGTATTTGGTCTGACCCACTATCTGCTAGAAGTTAACCGATTAACTGAGAGCAGAGTCGAATCTCTTCCTCTTTCTGGCCTACGGATCTGTGCACACGGCATTCTTTTGTGGCGCCCAACGTGGGGAACACAGTAATATACAATATCGAAAATTTGAACAGAATACGCCGAGCCGTTACCTCGGAAAATTTCCAACGTACGCACGTACATACAGACGGAAAAAATTGGAGAGTAGCTAAAAATGATGTAAAACGGTAATCGCAATAACTACCTAACTCATGCTAGGAAGCTAAAAATTACCAAATCGGAGACACCAATTACTTCGTATTTCATTTGGAAAATAATCTTGAATTTTTGCATTAAACTTTACAATGTATTTCTTAATAGCAATAATTCCATGATTTGCTTAAAATTATTTAACATTTTTCGTTTATAGTCTGGCATAGTCTCCAATCTCCAACCAAGTATTTGCTACTATTTTGTAATTTTTTTCTCTAGTAGTGTAAAAAAATCCCATATGGCGCCCATAAGGAATAAGTAAGTTGATGTGATTGACTCGAAACCCACAAGTCATAAAAAATTGATTTTAGCATCGTCAGAACGCTCATAAAAATCACTAAGGGCGTGTAAAAATAATTTTTTAAAATTTCTTTTTGGGCCAAATTTGCCACCCACTAAAATCTGCCGCCCTAGGCTCCAGCCTACTCCGCCTGCTGGTAAATCCGCGATAAGCTCTTCATAAACATCTCCTCTTAGAACTTGGAAAACGTACGAGGCTACTATAAGGGTGGCCACAGACGACGTCACCACCGAAGAAGGGTGTGCGCGGCTGTTGGTGAGCTCGGAGAAGCTTGCGCCCGTAGCAGCGATCTTCAATTTGGCGGTGATTCTTCGGGACGACCTCTTCGAGAACCAGACGGAGGAGAACTTCGTGAACGCGCTCTCCCCTAAAGCCCTTGCCACGCAGCACCTAGACGCCCTAAGTCGACACCTCTGCCCGCGCCTACAGTAAGCTACCTCACCCCAGTGCTTCGCACTATACTAACCACCCCTTAGGCACTTCGTGGTGTTCTCGTCGGTCTCGTGCGGAAGGGGCAATGCAGGTCAGAGCACTTACGGCATGGCCAACTCGATTATGGAAAGGATATGCGAGAAGAGGAGACATGAGGGCTACCCAGGTTTGGCAATACAGTGGGGGGCGATCGGAGAAGTGCGCCTTTTGTCATCGTCCGGATTTCTTCACGTACTATTTTAGGTCGGCCTGGTTGCGGAAATGCAAGAACAGCACAAAGAAATTGTGATTAGTGGCACATTGCAACAGCGCGTCGCGTCCTGTCTGAGCACCCTGGAAACCTTCCTCTTACAAAACGAGCCCATCGTAGCAAGTATGGTGGTGGCGGAAAAAAAGAGCGTCGCCGAAGGCGCCGAAAGCGCCATCAGCGCGATCAAATGCATCATGGGTACGTTTAATTTAACTAGCACCTTCAACTCCCTTGCTTCGTTTAGGAATAAGCGATATGAAGATGATTAGCGAGCATGTCACCTTATCCGAAATGGGCATGGACTCCATGACCGCGGTTGAAATTAAGCAGACGCTCGAACGCGACTGTGAGGTCTTCCTAAGCCCTAAAGAAATTCGAACCCTTACCTTCGCCAAACTAAAAGAGCGGTTATCAAATGAAAGATCAGAGCCGGTAGCTACAACCGTCCCCCCACGCGCAAACATCTTTTACACCCACTTTCGGACGGAGGAGGAATCCAGAATATCATTAAAGCAAATGGAAAGTGTAGTTAAGAAAGAAGATCATGCACCATTGGCAATCTTTCTGCCGGGAGTTGAAGGGGTAGCCGAAGCCATGGCGTCCTTGGCTAACAAGCTGAGGGCCCATGTAGAATGCGTCCAGTACGCAAACGCCGCTGCCGATTTCCACTTGGAAACCTTCGCTAAATCACTATCAAAGGTAATTATTTCCATCATTTCTACCTACAAATCCGATTTTAGCTAATACCCCACGTCGAGCATCACTTCAACCTCGTAGCATATTCGTATGGTTGTGCTGTCGCGTTAGAGCTCGCTTCCACCTTAGAAGTCCGTGGATTGATCGGAAAAGTGATTTTAATCGACGGATCTCCGGAAATGCTAAAGGAACTGATAAAGCAGCAGTTCCCGTCGGAACACGAGCCGGAGGCCTCCTTGGAGACCGCCGTACTGTTTAACATAATCACCTCATACACACCATTGGAGGCAACAGTAGCGCTTCGGATAAGCTTTGTCGCAGCCCACGCACCATTTTACCTACTTTTCTCAGGAAGCTGTCCGCCAGTTGGGCACATTGGAAGAACGCGTCGAGTACCTACTGGAAGTGATGCCCGAAGAAATTCCGCACTCCAAAGAGTACCAAAAGCAGGTGGCCATGGCCGTCTGCACGAAAACGAAAGCTCTATACAATTACGAGGCGAAATTTCCAAAGCTGAAGTCGGAGGTGACGCTAATCAAGCCGAACGAAGCGTCCGTCGTAAACTACGACCAGGACTACGGACTGCAGAAGTTGTGCGAGAAACCCGTTCGAGTTCATACGGTTGAAGGGACCCACGAAACCATCGTGCAGAATCCCGAGCTAGCCGACTATATCAATAAAATAATCATCAATAGAGTAATGATTTAATTATCTTTGTCTTCCCTCAGGAACCACAATATTCATAGCTATGAACCAATGCAAAACGTCACTTCACTTTTAGGTACCTACTGAAGTGATCCACTTTATAGATACTTGTTAATTATATAATAATTAAACGGTAAGAGTCTTTATTAATTTATAACGTGGGACATAAACAGAATTCGGTTATGGGCTACAATTGTTTATGTTCTTATGGAATTGATATGTAACTTGTAAGGAAAGCGCTCGGATTGTCAGTTAAAAACCTTTCATTGTAGAGTAAGAATGTAACTTACATAGTCAAAAAGGAGTGTAATTTGTATCAATAAGATAATCAACAATAAAGAGTAATAGTTAAATTGTCCTCATTACTCATTACTGGTAAAAGCAAAGCGTCACTTCACTTTGAGATATCTGCGTATGTAATTTAAGAGTCAATTTATATATATATATATAATTAATATAGTATATATATACCTTAATATATATATATATATATATATAAATTGTGTCGGATCGACCGGAAAAAAATATTTTCTTATAGAATGTGGCCTGTAGAATCCATAATTTCAAACGGTTCCAAGATCGAGCTACTAGATCAAAAGTTACAGCCCTTTGAATTTTTTGTCAAAACTCTGACAGCCCCAATCGATAGCACTGGTCGAGACCTTTCCAACGAGGGGTCGGAAGGCATATCTACGAAGCCCCGTTCTCGAGATATTACGGTTTGAAATTTCGACCAAAAATTCTGACAAACCGTAACCGACCCCTCGTTGGAAAGGTCTCGACCAGCGCTATCGATTGGCGCTGTCAGAATTTTTTTGGCCCAAAAAACATTGTCTCAGATCGAGATACTAGATCAAAAGTTACAGCCCTTTGAATTTTTTGTCGAAATTCTGACAGCGCCAATCCAGACCTCTCCAACGAGGGGTCGGAAGGCATATCTACGAAGCCCCGTTCTCGAGATATTACGGTTTGTCAGAATTCTAGTCAATTTTGAAGATCGATGTTTATGAGTAAATAATCCTACAAGAGATCTGTGATTTGTTATCACTGTAAATTTTTGACCGTAAAGGTATGTGCGAAAGTATGTTATTGCCCAATGGATACCTAAAAGTTCGTTTTCGATTATTGGCTCATTGAATTCATGTTTCTTCTGCTTGCAAAACCATCGGCTGATCTTTTCCTATGTCGCCTTGCGATAAGACATAACCTAGGGCGAAGTTTAAAGCAACGGTCGTTAAAATGGAAGGATCAGAAAAATCTGGATATCTGAGGATAGGGGGTTGTATTTTTCTTTAAGTATTTTAAACGAGTTTTCACACTCAATTGTCCATTGAAATTTTACATTCTTTTTCAGTAATTTGTTTAAAGGGTACGCTATCTTAGCAAAATTTGGGAAGAAAACCCACCAAACAAAAAAAGAAGTAAAAGATAGATATGAAGGACCTTATAATGTGAAGTGGATACATCCCCTAACGTGGACCGTCCAACCAACCAACCCGAAAAATTGATCACCGACCAATCTACAACAGCCCAGGAATTAGCGTGCCAACAACGTTTAGTTCATACATCCAGGGAGATACTTTAGAATCGCCACAAATGGCCCGGGGAATTTGGGAGCTAACTTTGCCAAAAATTGTTTCGAAGCGTCGATCGCGTGGTATTGAGCGAAATTCCTATGGTAAACCTTATCTCCGACATTGTAGGTAATAGAACGACGTTTCAAATCATACAACGTCATCAAACAGCTTCCTGAAAATCTGTTTTGATTCGGAATAACCCACGCGACGGTACCGTGAATGCAATTAAAGGACGAGATTGCTCATCAAGAGGAATTTGCCAGTCTGCCGACTTGATATCTAGGCTCGACAGGTAACGAGCACCTCTTAATCTTTCTAAAATACTCGAAATGTTAGACAAAGGATAAGCATCGTGCCTTATTTAATTGGCGATAGTCTGCACAAAATCTTGACGTACCGTCCTTCTTCACCATTAAAATTGGGCCGCCCCAAGGACTCGTCGATGGTTCAATTACACACGACGACTTCTTTTAACAGCCCCGGCGATACCGGGTAATACCCACATTTGTTTAATTGGTTCTATATTACCTTCCAGCTGGATTTTATGTTCCGACTACATCAGTGCAAGTGCATCACACTTTTTGTAGCTCCCGAATCTAATAAACCCAATATGTCTTTTCCCAATATATATTGACCATAATGCGAGAACACACAATCTAACAAACAACCGACACTATCATGGCCTCGTGAGATTCTAGAGATGATGCCTTTGGTCGTTTTCCGACCTACGAGCACATTTTCCGCAATCACGACGAGTAACTTCAGGTGTACCACAGGTGAAGCGGCGTTTCCTTAAAGGTCTATCGCAGTTCCGAGCGATATGCCCATTTTTCAGACAGTTCCGGCGAGGTTTAAGAGTTACTTACGCGGTTTTAAAAAGTAGTTCACGGTACCTATCCATCAAAGGCTGCTCGCCCCCTTGCGTCGCTTCTGGAAGTAGATAAAGGTGACTTTCACAAAGATCAATTCAAAGATGTGGTGATCTCCAAAATTAAGTCGGTGTAAAGTTCAAAGGTTGCTCACCGTTCAAAGTTCACAGGCTGGTTGCCGTTCAAAGTCCAAAGGAGTTCGCCGGCCACCATCTTGGGACTTCACAAAAAGTAGTAAAAGAAGGGTGCCGGCCTTCTACTGCCGTCCAAAGGTATTTAAGAATAGAATAGCACTATTCGTTAATAATTGAAGGTTTTCTATGGAAATTTTTGGTCTGATTCCATGGTACACAATTAGGCCATTGACTTAATAGGTGCCGGCCTACATAATATATTATACAATGAATAATAGCCTTTGATTAGAAATTCAGGCATTTACACAAACTGCCTTGACATATCCCAAATTAGATTTGACGCACAGATTGACCTTGACGGTTAGACGTCAAACTCAAAATTTCCGGAAGAAGGTTATCCTCGTCGAAGGGAGGGAAATCAGCAGAGTGACAAGGATGGGATTTAATACTGTGATCGAGCTGAATTCTAAAATCGTAATTATTACGTTGTTGTTCAGAGACAATGGCGGTTAAAGGTTAACTGATGCTGACATTAGTTCTGCATAATGTTCTTGCTTTTTTATTTAAAAGGCGGCGTGGATTCGTTCGATTTATTTCGCCCTTATCAATTGTGCCGAAAATGGTTTTGGAAAAAAACGGAGGAGTCGCACTCGCCCATCCCTTGCAAGGCGAGGAGGTCGTCATTACCGGTAAGTCAGTTGAAATGGCGATCAATCTGATGGTGTTTCACGAAAAGGGATGTCTGGACGTTTTCCCAAATCGGACGACATCTACCAGTACAGGAGCAACATCTACAACAAAGTTGATATGGTCACCAGTGAAAATCGCCGCTGGTTACCGACCAACCCCGAGATACCCCATCGTATGGGTCAAATTAATTTACTCGAGAAGATGGACGCTGGGCAATTTGGTATGGCATGAACGGGCGGAGGGGGCGGCGAGCTCATCGTGAGTGTTGCAGGTTTGCATTACCACGAACCCAACCAGATGGATCCGATGATCAGGATTTCCTTGGAGAAGGCGTACGAGGTGATCCTTGATGCCGGTTACAACGTGGACGAGATGAGCGGCATGCGCTGTGGGGTTTTCATCGGGTGCTGCTTTTCCGAAAGCGACGCGATGGTGGTTATGGCGACGAATTCCAGTCCAAACTTTGGCGTGACAGGGTAGGTGATCATTTCCATTGACCAGCATGTATTCTTTTCCAAATACATTACCTTCAAACTTAACCCACGCGACGGTACCGTGAAGGCAATTAAAGGGCGAGATTGTTCATCCAGAGGAATTTGCCAGTATGCCGACTTGATCTCTAGGTTCGACAGGTAACGAGCATCTCATAATTTGTCTAAAATACTTAAAATGTAAGGCAGAGGATAAGCATCGTGCCTTATTTAATTGGAGATAGCCTGCACAAAATCTCCACGAACCATCCAGTACAGGGTAGGTGATCATGTACATTGCCCAGCACCTATTATTTTCCAAATAATTCAATTTGGGGTCCTCTAGAGTAAATCGACTATTACTAGAACAATGGATCTAGTGTACCATCTCCTGTCGTCAAGGCAATTTGCTCAGCCTGCGCCAACGTATCTTTCGAACGGTGCTTTTTACCTCCCCTTGCCTTGCCATCACGATTTCATCACACATCTTCGATAAGATTGTGGAGACGTTGAGACTTGAGCCTTCAGAGCAATTAGTAACTCTCAAGAGCCGAGTCTACTTGATAATCTTTGAAATTTTTGGAAAATCTCACCCATGTAAACTAACTATTTTCCCTTTGTAGGTACCCTTCTTCACAATTAAGTTTTTACATCGCCGGTAGATCTGTATCGTCTAGACGATCTTTGCGCCCTTCGAGAGTACCCTCCTGTTCTGCGGATATTTTGAAAGAGTTGACCAATAGATATGCTTTGCCCAGACGATTCATTTTGTCTTTATGGGCACGTTCCTCCGACAAACCGTTTTCGAGATATGATAAGGGGCCGAGGAGGAGGACTAGGGTTGGTAGGAATTGATTCCTTTCGTTGAGACCTTACATTAGAGTACCATGAAGAATAGAACCCCCCCCCCCCCTGTCATTCACTGATCTCCTCGAAAAAGAGTCGCGCAGGAATATTATAGTTTCTACATACCATGGAGGGTAGAACATGTGCCCCCCCCCTCCCTGAGTTATGCACGTTTTACTTTCCAAAACAGTATCTCACGAAATTATTCATGGGGAAGCCCCCCTTTAATGCCGTCTGGCATACCTTCAAGGTATAGGCTACCTATCGGACAGACGGGCAGATAAAACGCAAACAATACCACTTTTTTTTGCTTAAAGTGCACTAGATATCACCCTTCTTCCTTAGGGGTTGTCGATCGATGATTGCGCAACGAATCAGTCACTACTTCAACCTGCGAGGGCCATCGTATACCATGGACACGGCGTGCAGCAGCTCAATGTACGCTTTCGAACATGGCTACCGAGCAATCCGAAGTGGTCTATGCGACAGCGCATTGATTGGTGGAGTCAACTTGTGCCTAAACCCCATAACATCCCTGCAGTTTGCTCGGTACGTGATCGAGGGTGTGAAGGATTCTGGTAACAGCGTTGTTTCAGGTTAGGTGTCCTGAGTGCGGACGGGACGTGCAAGCCGTTTGATGAAAACGCGAACGGTTACGCACGCTCCGAGACCGTTTCCTTTGTCTTCCTGCAGAAGACGAAGGATGCCCGACGAATTTACGCACAGGTAACACCCACCCCCCTCCCCCCGCCTAGTTACTATGGCTCTAGTTCTCTCTTGCATTAGGTGCTGCACTCAAAAACAAATAGTGACGGCTACAAAGAACAGGGGGTCATGTTCCCGTCGAGCGAAATGCAGAAGGTCCTCTTAGAGGACATTTACCAGGGAATGCCAACTAGATCCGACCGTAATCGACTTCCTCGAAGCGCACGCCACCGGCACCAAGGTCGGCGATCCCGAGGAAATGGGCGCAATAGAACCAGTCTTCTGCGCCCACCGCGATAAGCCACTGATCGCCGGCTCCATCAAGTCCTACCTTGGTCACACGGAGGGCGCGAGTGGATTGTGCTCGATAGTCAAGGTTTTGCTCGGAATGGAGAACGACTGCATTTTGCCAAACATCCACTACGAGAAACCACGGCAGTGCATAAAGTCTTTGGTCGATGGCAGAGTGGTGGTTCCCTTGGACAAAATGCCGTGGCCGGAAAACGGCTCGGGGATGGTTGCGGTTAACTGCTTCGGCGTTGGCGGGTCGAATGCGCACGTTGTCCTTAAGAGGTTCGAACAACGAAAGGTTAATGGAGGACTGCCCGAAGATGACTTACCGCGACTCATGTGCGTAAGTGGTCGCGTGCCGGAATCTCTGAAAACCATCTTTGATGACATCGGTGGGCGTAAACTGGACGCCGAGTATTGCAGGTTACTTCAACAGGCATTCAAGTAAGTACCATCCTCCATTTCACCAAATCCCCATTCAATTTGCCTTGTGAAGGAAAAATATAGTCATCGTGGGCTGGGGGGTCTCTTCTCCCCTTGGTTTTCCTCACTCATGACATGATGCGACGAAAAACTGGACGCACGGGAGTAGTAGCACTGTATTTAATAAACACAGGACTATGAGATAGGAAATGCTCAATATTGTCTGCAGACATTTACGGGATGAGTGCCTCCTTTTACCACACATTGAACACTGCATCGTAATCACTTCACTTTAACACAGAGTATAGGTTTTCAAACAAATATTTCGCGAATTAGGAGTAGAAACATCTCGTACATTCTATTTTCCTGATAAAAAAGTCATTTCTCGTGAGCTTAGAGAAAGACATCTTCATGGATTATGTTCTCCTAACTGTGAGAGAAAATTGGGATTTTTCAAACAAATATTTCGCGAATTAGGAGTAGAAACATCTCGTACATTCTATTTTCCTGATAAAAAAGTCATTTCTCGTGAGCTTAGAGAAAGACATCTTCATGGATTATGTTCTCCTAACTGTGAGAGAAAATTGGGATTTTTCAAACAAATATTTCGCGAATTAGGAGTAGAAACATCTCGTACATTCTATTTTCCTGATAAAAAAGTCATTTCTCGTGAGCTTAGAGAAAGACATCTTAATGGATTATGTTCTCCTAAGTGTGAGAGAAAATTGGGATTTTTGAACAGGTATTTCGCGAATTAGGAGTAGAAACATCTCCTTGTACATCCTATTTTCCTGATAAAAAAGTCATTTCTCGTGAGCTTAGAAAAAAACATCTTCATGGATTATGTTCTCCTAACTGTGAGAGAAAATTGGGATTTTTGAACAGGTATTTCGCGAATTAAGAGCAGAAACATATCCTTGTACATTCTATTTTACTGATAAAAAAGTCATTTCTCGTGAGTTTAGAAAAAGACATCTTCATGGATTGTGTTCTCCTAACTGTGAGAGATAATTGGGATTTTTGAACAGGTATTTCGCGAATTAGGAGTAGAAGCATCTCCTTGTACATTCTATTTTCCTGATAAAAAAGTCATTTCTCGTGAGCTTAGAAAAAGACATCTTCAAGGATTATGTTCTCCTAACTGTGAGAGAAAATTGGGATTTTTGAACAGGTATTTCGCGAATTAGGAGCAGAAACATATCCTTGTACATTCTATTTTCCTGATAAAAAAGTCATTTCTCGTGAGTTTAGAAAAAGACATCTTCATGGATTATGTTCTCCTAACTGTGAGAGAAAATTGGGATTTTTGAACAAGTATTTCGCGAATAAGGAACAGAACCATCCCTCGTCCATTCTGTTCTCCTGCTAAAAAGGTTTTCCCTGAGCTTAGGCGGAGACTTAGAAAGAGATCTCCTCATTATAACGTTCTCCTGGTAATCAGAGAAAATTACATTTTTCTAATGGATGCTAAATGAATTAGGAGCAAACCACCTTCTCCCATATTATTTGCTGATGTAAAAGTATTGTACTTGAGCTTAGAAAAGGCCCTCCTGTTCTCCTTTGCTTTTTTTGTTATCTCGGCTTCTGTTTCATCCATGGTTTCTTCTGCCCTTTTCCTGATTCTTCAGCTTTTCTGGATTTTTGACTGCTTCCGTCGGTACCTCCGATTTTCTTGATTCTTCGTATCCTTTGACGTCTAAATTTCCTCGGCTTCCTCTTGTTTGTTTGGCATTTCCGGGTCCTTCGAATTCTGCACTTTCTGCGGTTAACTCAGCTTTTTTGATTACTTAGGCTTTTGGCAAGCTATTCACTATTTTTGACTTCTTCACATTCTCCGTCTCTATGCAAATACTCCATCTGCTTCGGTTTTCCCGACTCCTCTTTCTTATACTTCCTCGACCTTTTTGCTGTTTCTTTGAGTTCATCCAGTGAAAGTGAAGTCATAGGAAGCCTGACTCTCATACTCCAGATTCAGTTCCTCTTCCGAAGCAGCATCCTTCAATATCGGAATTGCAATTAGTAAGTCAATCTTTAGCCATCCTCCAATGAGCATCGCATTCAAGCTTCGAAATCTCTCCTGCAACACATTAGCGACTCCATCAGAAAGGTCTTTACTGAATTTTAAATGGAAAGAAAAGGCTCTGATGGTCAGATCTTGATGGCTAATAACATTCCACCCGCAGGGGTATTAATTCTGAGCACCCTTATCGTGGGTACATTATCCACTCCAAGGCTGGCGAACTGAAGCGGAGCTCGACGAGGTTCGACGATAAGAGTCGAGTATGTCTGCTCCTTCCAGGACCAACCTTGGACCTTCTCGACATCGGCAGTGGACTGTTCAGGTTTTCAGTGTTTTTCGCGTCGATACAGAGGTGAGTTCTCAATCCCAGGCACGAAACCTCACCCTCACCTTACAGAATCGCCTCACTACTACCGTCCCAAGTTGATGTGGTCAAGATAATCAAAAATTGCGATTGTAAAGACGGACGAGAGTTAGTACTCGCTAGTTTAGCCATTCAGCTCGCTTTCATAGAGCTGCTCAAGGGGTTGAATTTATCGTTAGACTGCGCGGCGGGGATGTCCATCGGGGAGTTATCCGCCGGTTACGCAAACGGGCGGATCAATTTTGAACAGGCAATCGCGGTCGGGTACGAAATTTCTCGACTGGTGGGCGATGATCTGCGTCTCGATTACGCTTTAAGTACCAAAAGCTCGGTGCTGTTGAGCCGGCTACAAAAGGTGATGCCCAATCCGGAAGGGATACTTCACAGTCTTCTAAATCCCAAACCTTTGGAAGCGCGCTTGGTGCAACAGGGTCGTTATACCGAGCTGGCCGTTGTCGTACTCGGTTCGGATCACATCCAACTGAATGGTTTCACCTCCTTGCACGTTTCGGGATTGGATGCCGTGACCTCATTTCTGGATGTGGTGGGAAGGTGAGTATCGCCGACAGCGCGATCTTCTCCTGCAGAGTTCCGTTGCAGCCTTTATATGCTCGGTCACAATCCCAACGTGGAAGCTCTGTACCCGCCAGTCAAGTGGCCGGTTAGTAGAGGTACGCCCATGATCTCGCCACTAATAAAGTGGAACTACGACATGGATTGGTTTACGATGGTCCACACGGAGGAGGTCTTGCATCCAGGCACTCAAGTGATTCCTTTGATCAATAAGGACATTGACTGGTCTATCTTACCAGGGCACGTCATTGATGGTGAGTCAAACAGAGTCTCAATTCCTCCCCGGGCTGAAATTGCACGTGTTTAGGCATGACGATAATGCCCGCAACCGGTTTCCTCTTCATGGTCTGGGAGACGTACTGTAAAATTGTGGATGTTCCAATAGCCGGCTCTCGGGTGAGCTTCGACAACGTGCGTTTCCACAAAGCCGTCCACATTTCCAAAATATCGGAGATGGAATTTAAGATCACCATAACCCGAGGAACCAACAGATTTGAGGTAAATAGAGTCTCTACTAACCGTCCTACCTTGTTCACTTCAGATCGGAGACGTCGATGAAGTGATCGTCTCCGGAAGCATACGCACCCTCTCACACACGGACGAATTCATTGACCTTTCCTTGTCACCTGAAGATGACGGGGGAATCTCCTTCGCAACAAAAGATATTTACAAAGAGCTACGCCTGCGGGGTTACAACTACTCGTAAGTGACTTGGTGAAGGGGATGGTTTGTATTGAATTCTTGTAGGGGAGCGTTTCGCGCGCAGGAAAAAGCCCATATAACGGGATTGATCAGCTCGATTAAATGGGACCGTAACTGGATCGCATTTATCGATAACATGATGCAGACAAAGATTCTCGGGGAAGATACGCGGAGTCTGTACGTCCCCACGTTCATCGGTCAGTTGAAGATTGACGCCATGAAGCACTTCGAGTACGTTAAGGAGTTGGACAATCCATCTCTACTGCCTGTGTACAACCACCGCGAGTCAGATGCCATCAGGTGAGTTAGGCAGACTCTTCCGCGGTGATTATAATTAGTGGAGTAGGTGTGGAGGTATCGAGCTGCGGAAGCTTTACGCAACGCCCATTCTACGCCGTAAGGTGACCGCCGAGCCGGTCCTGGAGACGCACAAGTTCGTACCGTTTAACACCGAGCTGCCCATGCAATCTGCGGTACGCGTCCTGGTGCAGATCTTCCTTGAGAACACTTTCTCGCTGAAGGTTAAAATCGTGGAGGTCGCGAAAATGGACGCGATTGCTCCAATCCTGCAAGAGGCTTTGAACGATCAGCCGCTGGTTAAAACCGAAGTTACAATTTTGGGCGGCGAAAATTTAACGGTTCCAAACATGAAGGTCCACAACAAGGCGTTGTCCGCCGAAAAGAAATGCGCGATAGTCATTCTCGAGAGGGGATCGGGTAACAGTGAACTCCTCCAGGAGGCTGAAGGCGTCCTCAAGGAGAACGGCATTATTATTTCAAGGGAGAAAGGCGAGTTCGCTCCAAATTTCCCTAGTCTCGCGCTTCTGGCGCAAGTTAAAACTGAAACTGAAACGCTGGTGTTGCTGAGGAAGGTTGTGAGTTACCCGAAAGAGCACGTGGTCATGGCCAAGTTTGATGGTACAACTTACGACTGGTTGCCCAAACTTCAGAGTGCCATGCGCAATGAAACCAAAACGTTGGTGGTCGTCGAAAATGAGCCCCTAGGCGGCGTCCTCGGATTTGTCAATTGTCTAAGACGCGAACCTGGAGGGATGAACTTGAAATGCGTGTTTGTTCAGGACGAGGACGTTAAATTTAACCTATCTGATCCACTCTTCAGCGAACAGCTGAGCAAAGACTTAGCGATTAACGTGTTGAACCAAGGCGCTTGGGGTACCTATCGACATCTGCCACTGGAGCGCGTGGGGGAAGTTGAAAGGCAGCATGTCTTTTGCAACCAGAACGTGGTTGGAAACTTGTCGACGCTAAGTTGGGTCGAAGGGGTCGTCTCAAAGGTCAACGCTCAGGAGCCAGAACGATTGGTCAAGGTTTGTAAGAATGTTCCATCAGGTCGTGGTTTAAAGGCTTGTGTAGGTATACGCCAGTTCCATCAACTTCCTGAATATTATGTTGGCTTCCGGTCGTGTTCCTTTGGAGGCGTTCATAAAGGATCGGCTTGCTTTAGCCACAGCGCAAGGTCTTGAGTACGCTGGCATAGATGCAAGGTAAATTCCCTTACTGAGTAAACCTGGTGTAGCATGCAGTTGTAGGGGCGAGAGGGTAATGGGATTTGTACAGTGTGGGGCTATGGCCAGTTCCGTTGTCCCCGACAGTGAGATGATCTGGAGGATACCAGGGGAGTGGACAATGTCTCAGGCCGTCAGTGTTCCGATGGCCTACTCAACTGTATTGTGCAGTTTCTTTGTGGTAAGTGTCAATGAAGCTCTTCCGTCGTTTAGTAGCACGGTTTTAAGAGCGCCCATCTCAAACCGGGACAAAGTCTCCTGATACACTCCGGGGCTGGAGGCGTAGGGCAGTCAGCTATTCACATCGCCTTGTTTTACAAGTGCCAAATATTCACAACTGTCGGTACCGAGGAGAAGAGAAAGTTCATCATGGAAACATTCCCAGAAATACCAGGTAAGCAGGTAAACTAATCCACGCGAACTCATTCGGTTCGTAGCTAGCCACATCGGCAACTCTCGCGACACCTCCTTCGTGCAGATGGTTTTAAAGTACACGAAAGGAAGGGGGGTCGACTTGGTTCTAAACTCCCTGGCCGAGGAAAAACTAAAAGCGTCACTTCAGTGCCTTGCGCCGAAAGGATACTTCGTCGAGATAGGCAAATACGACTTGGTCAACAGCAACAAACTTGCACTTTCTGCACTTAGCAAAGGGCGTAGTTATGCCGGCTGCATGTTAGACATGTACTTCAAAGACGCCCACAATCAAAAGCACAAACTACAACAAATCCTGGATCAGTTCTTGAAACAAGGGGCGGTTAAACCTTTGCACATTACCACATTCAACATGGATCAAGTGGAAGAAGCCTACCGTTACATGGCGGCAGGTAAACACATAGGAAAAGTCGTCGTTAAGATACGCGATGAGAAGCAGCAATCGCCCGGCCTATTCAAGGCTCTCCCAAGGTACGGTTTCTATTCAGGGGATCACTAATGACCAACCATTCCAGATTCTCCTGCGACCCTTCCATGACGTACATCATTTTAGGAGGCTTGGGAGGCTTTGGACTGGAACTGGTTGATTGGTTGATACTAAGAGGTGCCCGAAAGTTGGTTTTAGTCTCTCGAAGTGGTGTCAGAAATGGCTACGCTGCGTCGCGACTTAGGTGAGATCAGTTGCGATCAACCCTTGATAAACATCTTCCCTTAGAGTTTGGAAAACGTACGAGGCTGTCATAAGGGTGGCCACAGAGGACGTCACCACCGAAGAAGGGTGTGTACAACTATTGGAGAGCTCGGAGAAGCTTGCACCCGTAGCCGCGATCTTCAATTTGGCGGTGGTTCTTCGGGACGACCTCTTCGAGAACCAGACGGAGGAGAACTTCGTAAAAGTGCTCTCGCCGAAGGCCCGTGCAACGCAGCACCTAGATGCCCTAAGCCGGCAGGTCTGCCCCCATCTACAGTAAGCTACCCCAACCTGGTGCTTCGCACTCTACTAACTACCCCTTAGGCACTTCGTTGTGTTCTCGTCGGTCTCGTGTGGAAGGGGCAATACAGGTCAGACCACCTACGGCATGGCCAACTCGATCATGGAAAGGATTTGCGAGAAAAGGAAACGGGAGGGCTACCCAGGTTTGGCAATACAGTGGGGAGCGATCGGAGAGGTGCGCCTTTCGTCAGCGTCAGAGTTCATCACGCTCTATTTTAGGTCGGCCTGGTTGCAGAAATGCAAGAGCAGCACAAAGAAATTGTGATTGGGGGCACACTGCCACAGCGTGTCTCGTCTTGTCTGAGCACCTTGGAAACCTTCCTCTTGCAAAACGAGTCCGTCGTAGCAAGTATGGTAGTTGCGGAAAAGAAGAGCATCGCCGAAGGCACCGAAAGCGTCATGATCGCTATCAAAAGCATCATGGGTACGTTTACTCCTAGTACCACCTTCAACTCCCCTGCTTTGTTTAGGAATAACCGATATGACGACGATCAGCGAGCACGTCACCTTATCCGAAATGGGTATGGACTCCATGACCACGGTTGAAATAAAGCAGACCCTCGAACGTGACTGTGAAGTCTTCCTAAGCCCTAAAGAAATCCGAACCCTCACCTTCGCCAAACTAAAAGAGCGGTTATTCAAAGAAGCATTAGACCCCGTAGCTCCAACCCTCCCCCCACGTACTAAAATTTTCATCACTCACCTCGGCACGGAGGAGGAATCGAAAATACCACTAAAGCAAATGGAAAGTTTGGCTAAGAAAGAAGATGAGGCACCATTGGCAATTTTTCTGCCGGGAATTGAAGGAGTAGCCGAAACCATGGAGTCCTTGGCTAAGAAGCTAAACGCTCATGTGGAGTGTGTTCAGTATGCAAACGACGCCAGCGATTTCCGCTTGGAAGCCTTCGCTAAATCACTACTAAAGGTAATTATTTCCTTCACTTCTCTTTACTAATCGCATTTTAGCTAATACCCCACGTCGAACATCACTTTAACCTCGTAGCATATTCGTATGGTTGCGTTGTCGCGTTAGAGCTCGCTTCCATCTTAGAAGTCCGTGGATTGATCGGAAAAGTGGTTTTAATCGACGGCGCGCCGGAGATGCTAAAGAAACTCATAAAGCTACAGTACCCGTCGGAACATGAGCCGGAGGCCTCATTGGAGACGGCCGTACTGTTTAACATAATCACCTCATACGCACCCATGGAGGTTACAATGGTGCACCAGGTAAACTATGTCTCAGCTCTGCACCATTTCATCGACTTTTCTTAGGAAGCTGTCCGCCAGTTGCGCACGTTGGAGGAACGCGTCGAGTACCTACTGGAAGCGATACCCGAAGGAATTCCACATTCGAAAGAGCACCAAAGGCGGGTGGCCATCGCCATCTGCGAGAAAACGAAATCCGTCTATAATTACGAGGCGAAGTTTCCAAAGCTGAAGTCGGAGGTGACGCTGATCAAGCCGAACGAATCGCCCTTCGTCAACTACGACGAGAACTACGGACTGCAGAAGCTGTGCGAGAAACCCGTTCGGGTGCATACGGTCGTAGGGACCCACACGACCGTCGTGCAGAATCCCGAGCTTGCCGACTATATCAATAAGATAATCAACAATAAAGAGCAATAGTTCTCTAGACGCACTTACACCTTGGAAGACTTATCACCCAGATCTTACATGCTTTAGGATATACGAAACCCTGAGTATCTTCGGAACTCAGCATCGTTATATTCATTTTCCGCCTATTTCCGTAAAGTCGAAGAATGTCTTCAAAATTATTACATAATGTTTAACATTTACATACGCAAAACTTTAAAAAATTTTCTAATTTTTGTTCTTAGTCGCAATGAAAATGTTCTAAACTCTTCCAAACCGCAAGCTTAGATTAGTTTTCGCATATTTTATCTCTGATTAAACATATTCTGAGCGAATTTTTCATTCAAATCATCGAGTTTGTCTTTTCCAAAAAAAAGACAAACTCGATAATATGAAGCATAACATCCCAAATATGGATCCACCAATACAATACGAATTTTTCATATTTTGCTTCTGTCTTCGTTTGTTAAAAAAAAGTAGCGAGACACTATTCTCGCGTAACTTTGTATATGTCACAAAATATGCAAAAATATGCGTTTTTCGAGAAGCACTAAACGTGCATTATACGAAAAGCTGTCTTGATCCGCTGGAAAGGAAACCTCGTGCAGTTGATCTTGATCGGTTTGAACACAATCTCAGCGAATTATTCATGTTTTCTTTCTGGAAAATGGAGCTTCGATGGTTTTCCCTAAAAAAATGATCACACATACTGAGGACTCTGAATATCTTGAGGGGTGTATACGTCACCGGGGGGTCTGGGGGGTATGAAATACCCCCCAGGCAAAAGAAACTTCGATGGCTCTTCCTCGAGAATAATGATAACGAGTATTGAGGATCGTCAGTGTTGAGGTGGGGATGATCACCGGGGACTATCAAAGCTCCTGAGGAATCAGATGACAGAAAAGACTCAGAATATCTTGAGGAGTGTATAGGTCACTGGTGGGTATAAAATCTTCTTTTTCTGGGGGGTATTCCATACCCCCCAGACCCCCCGGTGGTACGTTCCCGTTTCAAAAGGCACAGAACCATCAACCATTGTGGTGATCCCATTCGGGAGAACATTCCATATCACACTCCCCCAGGAAATGGAGCTTCCATAGTTTTTTTTCTAAAAAATGATCACACATACCGAGGACTCTGAATATCTTGAGGGGTGTATACACCACCGGGAGGTCTGGGGGGTATGGAATATCCACCAGGCAAAAGAAACTTCGATGGCTCTTCCTCGAGAATAATGATAACGAGTATTGAGGACCGTCGACGTTTCTGTTATCCCATTCAGAGGAGTATTCCACACCAAACTCCCCCAGAAACTGGAGTTTCGATGGTTATTCCTAAAAAATGATCACACATGCTGAGGACTCTGAATATCTTAAGGAGTGTATAGCTCACTGGGGGTCTGGAGGGTATAGAATACCCCCCAAGCAAAAAAAACTTACTGTTGGCGTGGGGATGATCATATGGCACTATAAAATCTTCTTTTCCTGGAGGGTATTCCATACCCCCCAGACCCCCCCGGTGATACGTTCCCGTTTCAAAACGTACAGAACCATCAACGATTGTGGTGATCCCATTCGGGAGAACATTCCATACCACACTCCCCCAGGAAATGGAGCTCCGGAAGTTTTTTTCTAAAAAATGATCACACATACTGAGGACTCTGAATATCTTGAGGGGTGTATACGTCACCGGGGGATCTGGGGGGTATGGAATACCCCCCAGGCAAAAGAAACTTCGATGGCTCTTCCTCGAGAATAATGAAAACGAGTATTGAGGACCGTCGACGTTTCTGTTATCCCATTCAGAGGAGTATTCCATACCAAACTCCCCCAGGAACTGGAGCTTCGATGGTTATTCCTAAAAAATGATCACACATGCTGAGGACTCTGAATATCTTAAGGAGTGTATAGGTCACTGGGGGTCTGGAGGGTATAGAATACCCCCCAAGCAAAAAAAACACTGTTGGCGTGGGGATGATCATATGGCACTATAAAATCTTCTTTTCCTGGGGGGTATTCCATACCCCCCAGACCCCCCGGTGGTACGTTCCCGTTTTAAAACGTACAGAACCATCAACGTTTGTGTGATCATACTGGAGGGAACATCCCATACCAAACTCCCCCAGGAAATGGAGCTTCGCTGGCGTTTCTTATGATGACAAGTATTGAGGTCCGTCACTTTTGAGACGAGGATGATCACCGGGGACGATGAAAGCACCTTTTGCTGGGAGTACTCCCCCCAGGCAAAAGAAACTTCGATGGCTCTTCCTCGAGAATAATGATAATAAGCATTGAGATGATCCACGAGGACTATCATTTGCTGGGAAGTATTCCATCCCCCCCCCTACCCCCCGGTGGTACGTTCTCATTTCAAAACGTACAGAACCGTCAAAGTTTGCGGTGATCATACTGGAGGGGGGTCTGGAGGGTATAGAATATACCTTCAAGGCAAAAGAAACTTGGCTGGCCCTTTCTCGAGAATATAGATAACAAATATTGAAGTCGGTCAACTGTTGGGGTGAGGATGATCACCGTAGACTATCAGAGCTTCTTTTCCTGGAGAGTCCCCCCCCCCCCATACCGCTAGATGGTTCGTTCTACTTTCAAAAGAACCATCAACGTTTGTGGTGATCATATTAGGGAGAGCTCCCCCAGGAAATGGTTTTCACACGTGGTGGTCACACGTTCTGAGGACTCTAAATATCTTGAGGGGAGTATAAATTACCAAGGGCTCTGCAGTTTTTATTACGAATACAACAATTTACGGCGCACAGAAAAAACAAAAAGCTGTTTCAACGGGATGGTGCACCCGCGCACAACCATTACCACTGTATTTACGGTGGTAACGGCACAACGCCTTAATAGTGTCAGAATATCTATATGGACAATTTCCTAGAAGATAATATGTCCGATAGGTAGTTAGGCAATATCTTTCATTTTTGTGTGGGTTATAGCAAAACCAGCTATAAAAACAGTGCATCAATTTCCAGACCTCTAATTACGAGGTGTGAGTAATTATAATTTAAAAATCAATGAAAAGCGGATCCAAGCGAATTTTCGCGGTCTTTATATTGAATCATCCCGTAAGTAATTGATTACTTACAGTGCTCTTAGCGTTCTTTCTTTCCGAATCTTAAGCGGTTATTGCGAATGTCGTGACCGAAACCCACCCCCTTATTAGTTGGGGTGGTTTTCTGAGGGTTCGTGACTAATTTTCCTATTAAGTTTCGATAGGCTAATGATGTTTGCCGCGAAACAAGCGTCGGTAATGACAAATTCCGAGATTCCCTTACATAAAAAGGCCGCCGCAGCGCACATGTGGGTGCATTGCCGAATGCCCCCCATCTGTTGTGTGGTCTATAAATTAACCTTCGTAGCTGACCTGTAACCAGAAAATTGATGTTTGCAACAGCATAACTCAAATCAATCTCGGTCGGCGACTACAAAAGCGTCCAGTAAACTACCCAAATAACGACATTTGTAATTTTTAAACGAAGTTTTCACAAACGCGACGGTGTTGCCGTTAATTATTCACGAAATTCCCACAATACGTTACGCTTCATTTTAAAACGGCTACTGGATAGGAGCTGGCCCCCTCTAAAAAAAAAGAGGATCAAATTAAAATCTAGCACTATCATGTCCATTGTGGCATTCATCACAATCCATACGAAGCGCAACGTTGCCACGTCATGTGCCGCTACCAATAAATAGAGGTAATTAAAGTATAAAAAATAAATTGGATTTTTTCTACGTCTTTATTCAACACGTTATAAGAGCCATTGTTCGATTTTAAATAATATGTGCTACTTCATTTTTCATTGCGTCAACTTTTAGATTGAAGGAGGCTGAGGAGTAAACAAAAAAAACGAAAAGTCGTTTCACAAAAGCCGCCTATTGAAAATATTCTCCTCGTCATAATTAACAATTCGGGTAGCATTGATGAAATCTTCGCATCCCAAGAGGAATTATTGTGGCATTAAAAATATACCTAGCGCTTTCGCATGCGTGTCGGTGAGACGACTAATTATAATTTTTTGATACGGGCCCGTGCTAAAATCTTCACTTAATTTTCCGAAACGTCTACGAACAATTAGTGCGAACGAAACATTTGTACGCAATTAGAGGGAAGAAATTCCTGACCTCACGCAGTACGATCGCTCGCGCTCGCCGCAGAAAAGTGGCGTTATTTTTGTGAGCGTGACCAATCTTCGAGGTTGCGTAACTTTTTTGTCGTCGTCGCTCCCCATTGATAAATTTCCGGGATGTTACACAATGACAGTCAGGGACTACGCTTTCGAGCGTGAATATTTAAATTAATTTTTAAAAGTTTGAGAAAATTACAAAGAATTCGGTATAGGTTGCGGGAAGTGAGCGGGGCGGAAAAAAAAGGGGGGCGGCACGCTTGATTAGTTAATTGCGCTAAAAAGTCGAGACATTACATTCGACCGGAATCACCATCATTCGATGATTTTCCGAATTTGCGTTTTTGTTTCTATGGCCAAACAAAAACGCAAGTTACTATCCGAGTAAAAGGCCTAGTCCGGTCACAAAGTCAGTAGGAATGATTTTAACGAAATCGGAAATATTCGCGAAAAAATTCAGCTTATTCAATTGTTTGTGTATTTTTAAGAATTTGGTTTAGATCGAGATACACTTTTCTCTCACATTGGAGGCTATAATTTAAATTTAAAGTAGATGCATACGTAAGTACCGCCATATTTGGTTATCTCTTGTGTTCGTTTTAAGATTTTTCCATTTGATGTTTGACCCGCTGCCGTATTAGTCTAAACAATCCTCTTATTAAATGAAGGTGCGTTACATTTCTGTGTACGAAACAATTAGACATGTGATTTACATACAAGGTTTTTAATTTTAGTTTCTGGTTCAATTCTACTTTAACCTCCATACATGTCCAATTGCACTTTGAGCTATTCGACGTATATCCATTCAAGGAATGCAGTATCTGTATCTACAAGGACAACGGCAACAAGCAGCGCCTGGATCGGAGATACCAAAATTGAGTCATGGGGTCACTTAAGTTAACTTATCTGTTAGTCAATAAATCAAGTTTTTAATTAGTGGATAATTCCTCTTCAAGGGATGATACCAATGTTAATTTCGTAAACGTTATCGATCGCTTTGAAAACAAATTTACTAGTAATTACTGTTGAATTTTTGGGAATGTCTTTAATTATGAATAAATCGTTGGATTATTTTGTCACTTCCCTTCAAACTTCACACTTTCACACAAGATGGCTATGATCATTTAAAG